CTGCTGTTACACAGCACAAAACGCATAATTTTGTACTGCTGTTACACAGCACAAAACGCATAAAAATTGCCTAGTTCATAATGGCCTTGCTGTGGTTTGACCGATGATGAATAAGGTCGCACCAGTCTTCATTTTTTGTCATAATCGAATAAATTATGAAGCAGAATGTCACTTCTTGATCGAGTGAGTTACTAGAGAAACGATACAGCCAGGATCAAAGGGCCTGACACAACTGCTCCCTGCTTATGGAACCAACCCGGTAACAGTAGTAACAAGGGACACCTACACCGAATTTTTTTGGAGGTTTTTATGAATTTTTGCGTATATGCAAAAGCAAAAACGCAAATTGTGATAATCTATGGTGTTCGCGTGCGTGTGTGTGTGCGTGTGTATGTATGTATGTATGTGTCCCAGCCCACGTACAACTTAAAGATTTCAAACTCAGCCCCCATTGCGCGCGGTTTTTACTCACGACCTGTGAACATTTTTGGCGCGAAAATCGTTAATTCGGGAACCAGGAGAACAGAGGGGATGGAATTATAAGGGCATGCTCCTTGTCGTACTGCCACGTAGTTGCACAATTAATTTCCTGAGCTTCGAGGATCACAATGTCACAAATTCTAACTACTGGGATTTTAAGCGATTTTATTACAGCACAAAATACTTCAAAAATGCAAGGTAGCACAAGCTCGCCTGGATGGGCGTCAACAGTGATTGGATTCTTGATGCATTTGCTGCATGAAGTTATTATTCTCAAATGATGTCAAATTATAGTACATGTGAAAAAATTTGGCTCAGCTGTTTCATCACAACGAATCTTCTCGTGGCCTGTGCAACTTGCAGTTTTTACAAGGTTACTGTCATCGTAGCTGCCAGCGTTTGAACTAGCCTCCAGCTATACAGCGGTAGTTTTTCCGCTTCCACTGATCAAAGCTGCGCTTTTTCTGATGGTCAGCTTGCCGGTGAACCAGTCGCTCGCTTCGCCTCCTCAAATTTGAGTTATTAAATCGTTTTTGAAAGATTATATATTTAATTTTATATACGCGTAGTTTCATTCGGTAAGCGACACGTATCAGTGAATAGTAAAAGATAGGACGATCACTCGAACGGCTTCTAATGAAATGTTGTAGTGGACACAGGCTAGCATTGACTGGTGACCACACGGTTGTGGAACGAGTTAGGTACTCATGGCACAGCCTGGTTTTGTGATCTGATAGTTTTTGGAAGTAGTAGCACTGATTCACTATATGGATCCACCACTGCAGTTAGTGTATTATAGCTATAACTCAGCTCGCAGCTATGCAATTTGGTCAACAATTCTAACTGAGAAACCAGTGAAGCGTAAGGCGCGAATGCAGGATATTGTTTTGATATTAATTTTCCAAAACAAACTGATTCTTCTTTTTTTCAAACGTGAAACAGAAAATTTGGATTATTTGAGTGCTTCGGAACGAACAAAGCTAGAAAGCTGAAATTCTACCTATTTGATTCTTTTTGGGCGATCTTTGACAAAAAGAGTCACTGATTACCTTACCAGATGCTAACAGCAACTGCTACCTCTCGGTTTGCTTCCTGAGTGCTTCCGCCTCCCACACTGAGCGAATGATGGGATTATCACTTTTAATTTTCAGAAAATGAAATTTTGTTGATTCATGCTTTTCACCACGCAGGTCATTGCTTTTAAGTAAGAAAGTAGTACGGGAAAAGGTGGTCAAGAAAACACAATCCGAATTTATTACTACGTTTTGCACACGAAAATCTGTAAATACATATGTTTTCGACACTTACATAATGTACTGGCACTTCATTTATTTGAAACTGTGAAACACTAAAGTTGTGTTTTTATCACTAGTATAATATTTAAAAGAAGCGGTTCTTAAAGTAGAAATCAGTCCTGAAACGAGAAGTTGAGAGTTTTACGGACTGTCGAGAATGTCATGACCATTCGAACAACTGGTGTGGGGATTTCCTGTTAGTAATTTTATTGAACCGCTCTAGTTTACCGAACACTACTAAGGCAAACCTTTCGATCCTGGACTACAAACCTTCAGTTAGTGCATACCACCTATCAGCTGTAAATGCTTCGTCGCTTCGAAGGCTGTTCGAGTGGTCGGTTAATTCATAATTTTGTGATAGGCAGCGTTCACCGACTGTCGGAAAGGCGACACCTGTTGATCAGATTTTACTTTGTTGTTGCAAAAAATTTTTAACTCGCTTCATTTCGTAGACAGATGAAAGACATATGTGAACCAGAAAAGTAAAAGCAGATGTTTTTGCGAAGCCCTGACGATTTGATGCGGGCGATTTTATCAAGTTGGTTAAGATTACGCCACTGCCTACTTTTGTTTATATTTTCAGTTGCATGGCCAAAAAAATAAGGACGAAGGGGGGGGGGCTTTTTCATTCTGAAAAGTGGCTGGTAAAGTTTTGTTTTTAAATAAGCAATACTCGAGCACTTTTATGCCGTTTTACTTGTATTTGCTCTATGCTAAGAGAATAACGCAACGACGCTGAGTGTATGCAAGTGTTACAGACATGGAATCCCGCACGGCCGGCTGTTCAGAGTAGTCCTGGTTTTTTCGGCTTTGTTGTCGATATTTTTAGTTAAACTAAAAATATGTTCGTTTTTAAATAATCACCTAAATTGTTTTTGCTAGAATTTTGTAGAAGAGTTCCCTATCCACTAAAAAAAAACTTGGCTGTGTCGTTGGCATAAATATGCTGTGTGCAGCAATTTGCAGTAGTGCATATTCTTTTGAAAGATGCCAACAAAATGTGCGTGAATTTTTTAAAAAATGTTCGAAATCAAGCGACGTCATGTGTAATTATTTTACTTCAGGCAGCGAACCAAGAAGGAAAATTTTTCTTCACCACTGATTTTGATCGGAAAAATTCATTCACCAGAAAAAAATTTACGAATTTTCAAAGGCGCTATCACTTATTTTTTCATCTTCCGTGAAGCACGGTTAATTGGTTCCGAAAAACATTTACTTCTATTTTCCTGAGAAATGCTCTGGCACGTCTGAGTGAAATCAAGGAATCCCGAGGAATCTCGGGAAAGCTTATTGTGAGCTAATGCTTCACTCAGATCCAATTCCCTAATTGCTGTACTCAGTCCAAGGCATTTTTTTCTAACTGACCTAAGAATTCAAATCTAAGGAATACAACAATGTGTTGAAGAGCAACTTTGCCTCCGTTTTCTCCTAAATGGCTGAATACCAGAATGAGGTCACCTGGAATGCGATAACGTCCACAGCAGTCGGTAGTACCAGTGCAGTTCTCTTGTCCACTACAGCAGCATCAGCAGCACATAACAATGGCGATCTTCGCTGGGGCGCCATTGCCCTGTCCATTATTATGGGTGCTATTTCAGTCATTACTGTCATTGGCAATTTGGCCGTTTTATTCTCCTATTACATCGACAAAAATATTCGCCAACCAAGCAATTATTTTATCTTTTCGTTGGCTGTTTCAGATTTGGTTAGTTAAAATTTTACGTTAAATGCGCTATCATGTTTTTTTAGCCGCAGTTGTTTTTTTTTTCGACGACAGTTTAGCATCAGAACGAAAGTTACACATCAACCCATTCAAGCTCTTACAAGTTGCCGGAAACAAAAATATTTAGGTATCAGTGAATAAAATTAAAGAAAAAGAAACAAGGCTTATACAGAAGTATTAATATAAATATAGATAAGAGGAAATTAAAATCACCATGCAAATATGCGTATATATTAAAATATATATATACACATATTTACATGAGTGTGTACGTGTGTAATATCACCCAGGGTAGTAAGGACGTTTCATTCCGTTAAGTTGCCATTTTGATGGATCTTCTATCACATTTCACCAGTTTGTTTTTATGCACTTTTGCGTATATGCAAGTGCAAAAACACATATTGGTAAGAGGATGTGTGTGTGTCTCTGTGTTTGCACTTTTTGTCACCCACTTTCAACTCGAAAACCAGAAAAGCTAGAAGACTGAAACTTTGGGAGTACGTGCCCACACCACGTGCAACCCTCTCGTTTTAATATCATCCCCTGCTTATGTTGGGTGCAGCGTACGAAGCCTTGAAAATTTTGCAAATTTTTTGGCGGGAAGGCGATCTCGGGAACCAGACAATGTAAAGAGCTGATACTTTTCAGGAATATTCGCTTGCATGAATGAGCTAAAAATTTCAAGTCCAATTCCTAGGTGTTCCTGATTCTCAAGTCTGAGCACGTGAAAGATTTTGTGCAAAAATCGCCAATTCCGCAAATTGAAAAACGGGAAGGCTGAAATTTTAAGGATATATCCCCGTCCATGTACAAATTAAAGACTTCAAACTCAGCCTGGTACCCACGAGCAGTTACATAGATTTTTCGGCGGGAAAATTATTAGCTAGAAAGCTGAAATTTGAGGGGAATGCCTCCTGTCCAAGTACAATTTGTCCTCCAAACTCAGCCTACCGGTGCGCCTCGTTCTCACATACGGTCACTTAAAAATTTTGGCGGGAAAATTGCTCACTAAACAGTAGGCCGCTTTCAAAGAATGGCTGTTGAACGGAAATTGTTCATTTGTTTTATGCGAAATTTATGGTGATTTAAATTAGCGGGCACAAAAGGTAGACGTAAAGCAATAACCATTCATGCAGTTAACGAACTGAGTACTTCAAGTCTGATGCAAAAACATATGATCGCACCGCAAAACTGGTGAATTCCAGCCTGGGTTATTTTACTATGTTCACTTTAATATTTAAATAAGCTCTTGCTTCACTGTGACAGTTCTTCAAGCTGTATATGGAGCTGGCAACTTTTCTTTTCAGTTTTGAGCTGCAGCAGTTCAATTGTAACACACTTATGCCATCATTAAAAATTTTTTTGCAAAGTCGTATTTTGAAAGGTTAGGAGCAAAGCTTATGTCTCTCAAAAATAACTCAGTACTTTGCTGAAAATATACTACACCTTGTTGGCCCCTCTTGTGTTGTTCTATTATTCGTTAGGCCACCTTTCTTCTCAACAAGTGTGGTACTCCAAGTTCACTTCCACACTTTGTGTAGCTGAGAAATGTCACTTTCCCAAACAATTCTATTGCTAGTGTTGAAAAGAGCACCTCATAATCTGTTGAAGAATGCCTATCCTTTTCTTCAACTAGGAACTCGCCTAGTTAATAGTGGCTCTCGATTTTTAGCATAAGAGCAGTTCACTTACCATTGCGCTCTACCCACCGGTTTTATTTGTATATGTTTTCCGTTTTCAAAAATTTATCTACTTTTCGTAGATTCTGATGTGGGAAATGATTGCATTTTTATTTTTGATGGATTCTCAAGCCTTTCAGGCGAAACCACTTGCCTGCTGGACTAAGAAACAATTTGAAACTTTTGAAAATAAAGTTGTTGTTTGCCCAATTTCCAGCTGAATTATTTCGAATGCCTCGGAACCTGAACAATTCATGCCTTCTCGTTTTGACATTAAGTAGCGGGAGCAACTGGGAGTCTTGCCAGCGGGTGGTCACTTTTGGCATTTTGCAACAACTGGTCGCTCTTTGCTGTCATATCTCGTAGAGTGAGATATCTGGAGGATTTTTAATTTATCAAAGTTTGCACGGTGAGGCATGCAGTCAGAGGTGGCATAAGTTGCTGCCTTAGAAAAATATAATTTTAAAACCACCTGGTGTGAAAGAGTTTTGCTTACTTTCATTATCGTCATTTCTTTCAATTCTGCAAATACAGCGATTATTAGGAACATTCAACGGCACTGTGACGAAATGGAAAGGCCAAGGGAAGGCGTAATTTTCATAATTACTGGCCCACGACTGACTTAAAATTATGAAAACAATTATTGCTGATAGCGACTGCGATAACGATAAAGATGTTAATGATGATGATGAAGTGATGATAATAGCTTGTAGTTGTTGCACTTTTTTGCTTGTCCAGGCTGGTAGATCGTGTACTCCAAATTCTTCAACATTTTTTGAAATAGTGACAATTGTTAAAATTTTCACTGCAGGGAAACACTTTTAAATCTTTTCTGGAAAGGCACCGAAATGGCGTCATGCCTGGATTCAAATGCAGTACTAGTGTTTTGAAATGTTGACGCAGTATGGGAGCTTCGCTGTTACACAGATTTAAACGGATCAGAAACTTTCTGAATTTCCCGCCTTACAAAATCTCTCAGTCCAGGATGCGTGTGTGGAGGTCGGAGAAGTTAGGCAAGTTGATAAAAAAGGTAAGAAGGGAAGGAAAGAGCAAGGGAGGGAAGATCGTGTACTGCTGATGCTAAGCAAAAAACTGAATTTCAAAAGCAGGTGTTTTTTAGTTTTTGCAGCCATCAGTTTTTTGTAAATATTCAACCTCAAAAGTTTTCGCTTTCAAAAAAGCTTTTGAAAGTGATCTCAAATCAGCATTCATTTTCATAATATTGTTAGTGTTTATGATTTACAACCGTTTCGTTCAAAAGTACTCTTGGCTTGAAAAATTTCGTTTCGAAGAATTACGTCTACAGGATTTCCTGAAATACGTCTAAATGACGTTCTCTCCACTATAAGTTTTACAAAACCTCAGGTATTTCTCGAATTAATAAGAATGTATGTTGCTTAATGGAGCGAAATATTTCTGTTCCGTTGATCAATTTTTTTTTATTGCTTATACATAATATTATCATAATCACATCCTGTGAATCAAAACTTTTTTTTTACAGAAAATTGGTACCGATGGGCCAAAGCTAGGATATGATAAAATCACTTGGCGCGACACATAGACAAAATACATAAAATTCTCAAACATTATTTTATTAACAATTAAAGGTTTGAATGGCGGTTTTCTGATGGCATACATGTGCGTATGCTTGTTAGTTTGTTAGCATGTCTGACCATTTTACTCCATAACTTAAAAAAAAAGGAAAAATTATGAAAGAACAGCCCACACTCATGCGCGAGTCTACAATCCCAGAATTTATTTCGTCCCTTCCCCCTCTCCCGTCCTCTCCTCTCCGACTCCCGCTTCTCCCGCCTCTCCCTTGCTTCTCCTTTCCGGCCGCAGTGTCCTGGCATAATTTTGCCTTTTTTCCTAACGCTTAACTGTAAATATCCCCGGACCCTCTGCACTCACAGTTAGCTGTAATCAAGTTCAAACTGGAAGAAAGGATAGTTCTCGATTACATACGAGCACGCAAACATAAAATGAGCTTACAACTTTCTGTAGTTTAAGTTCTGCTGAATTGTGCTCAGTAGTCTATGTTCAGGCTAGTTTTTATGCGTTTTTGCTGCGCAGCGCTATAGCATTGCTATAGTCAGCAAAAACGCATACTATCGAGAGGCCGTCTGTGTGCGTGTTCAGAAGCGAGTGAACTTTTGTCACCCACTTTCATCTCAGCAACCAGGAAAGCTGGGAGGTTGAAGTTTCAAGTTTATGTTCCTACTCCGTGTGTCATCCTTCCGTTTCAAGATATTCCCCCACACGCGCCTAGACCTCGCGTACGGGCCCGCCAAAAAATGTGCAAAATTCTTCGGCGGGAAACGATTTCGCAAAACAGGCAAGGTACAAACCTTAAACTTCGCAACGTTGTCCTCTGTGCATGCGCGGGCTAAAGCTTTCAAATTCAGCTGTGAAGCACGCTAGTGCAGCGCATACGATCGCGTCAAAGTTTACAATTTGGTACTCTGCTAACTCGAAAACTTGCAGGAAAATCGTGGCTAAAATTTTGTCAGCATGTTTGTGGCCCATACAGAAAATCGTACGTCTAGAATGAGTACCGATATGCATTTGCGCCACGATTTAGGGCACGTTAAAGATACATGTAGCGAAGCGGATAATTCGCTTACCGTTGAGATATTTTATTTTCAAGAGCGGTCTGAATTCAGCTCGAGGTGAAATTCCCTTCAGGTGGTTACTAGAAATGCTCAGCTTTATTGAAAAATCAGAAACGAGTGCGTTTTTATGCGTTTTTGCCTATATGCAAATTGCAAAAACGCATATTGGGACGACCCTGTCTG